GTACAAAGGAATTCAAACGGCTGTAGGTTGCTGTCTTTTTATTATAATACTCACTGGATATTGCCATTCTTCTTCATCCTCTCCGTTCTCTGAAGTTCCAGGGAAAGCATAGCACCAATGCTTTCTAGCTGTGTCTGAAAACAGCAGGCTTGTTTGAGAGTGGATACTGGTTCTGGATGAAGAGATTTACAGAGAGTGCTTTCTGAGCATCGCTGCTGGAACTCAGGGGTACTTGAACTCCAGCTCACATAGCTGCCCACTGCTTTTCTCTGTCTTGTCTTGAAAGGAGATTGTGTGTGTGCCTTAATCCTGTTAAGGAGTGTGTACTTTCTCTATGTTTTTTTTTTTTTGTTTGAAACTGCAATTTATTTTCTTAGTCTTGCACATTAATAGTTTCTAACTCAACAGTATTTTTCCTTTGAGGATTGCAAAGCACTTTCCATGACAATGAGGAGGTCTGTATTTTTCTGCAGAGCATTAACAACCAGGGCAGCTACAGCAGAACCAGATGTGGAGTGCTGGGATCAGCAAGGTGTAGGCATTAGCAAGGTACACTGCAATTGAGGAAACATTGCTGGGAACCTGCCAAGGAAAGCCTTAAAACATGCTGACTTGAGCGTATTACAAGACACTATGGTTCTCGTCCTGCAAAAGGGCTTCACATGTTCTACACTGATAATTAATGCTATTTATGTAGTTTAGAATGTTGCCATGTTTTTAAGTTAAAGATAGTATCAGAGCTTGCAGACTCAGGACCTAAGAAATAATTGTAGCAGCATTACTTGTTAGAATTATCATGTCAAATTTGCTCAGGTTTCATTCATAAAAAATTTTTTTTGGATACCTAATAAAAAAAAGACTGATGCCAAATCTGCCATTTGCCTTCCTGCTTCTTCAGTGTGTGCTCTCCACTAACCCTAAAACACAGTTTTATTCTCTTCATGCCTGGACAAGAGTTCAGATCCCCAGCTCAGAAACTGCCAGTGAAAAATGCTGTCTCTTGCCAGTGAAGTTCCTGGAAGGGCAGTGAATTCCCCACGGATGGGTAAAGACAGTGCTTTCAGACCTTCTTTATCTGTCTCCAGGAAGTGAAGCTCACGATGTTTCTTTCCCCTGGAGCAGGCACAGCAGAATAATAATCTCGTTTTGTAAAGTATGTTCTGTGTCAGTTTAACATTCCTGAACTTCTGGGATGGCTGAAAACATACAGAGAATGTACAAACAAAAGAATCTGAGTTCCAGAAGCTTTTCCATTCAAATCTCTGAATGCACAGAACCTAATTAGGGCTATTATAAAGAAATTAAAGTTAATGACTCACTATTATACGATCCTTACTGCATTTATATTGCAGCTTGTTCATAAAGGAAATGGTCTACTCAAGACCTGAGCCTTCAAAGCATCTGTGGGTCAGCAGATGAGTAGCTCAGCCAAGGAGACATTGACCACTGAGGATGGTTTCAGCAGAGCAGGAAGGAAGGACCTCAGCAAGAAAGCACACCAAGAGCTTCCGCTGTGCCTGTAACAACAGAGAGAAACATCTTCCCCTCCGAGAAGTACGGACTGGCCTCAGCCGGTTTGGGGTGTAGCTGCTGGATACCGAGTTGAGCAGGACAACTCTGTCTGCAGCAGATGTCTTTTGTGGGTGGGTACCAGGCTGCACATTTGCAGTTTAAAAGCATTCTGTAGCAGCTAGATCATCCCTGGTGGCTGGCTGTGGGAAGGAACGGGTGTCTGCCTATTCATGAACTCGCTCTTGCTGTTGCTGGCTGATCCAAATGTCATCCATACAGCAGGCAGATGTGTTTGTTTCTTCTGAATGGAGAAGGCTTTTCTTTAACTGTTTTTCCACTCACTACGTTGCATATCTTTCTGATATGTATTGAGCTATATATTTAGATAACTGTTAGTAAACCAGTGCCAGGACAATTTTTGGTGACTCGCTCTCCAAACCAATGTCAGATTTCTAGCACTGCAGTCATTTTACAATTGCTAAAGCCAAGCATGGCCAAGTTTTGCCTTTCTCAGTTTTGGCAGTCAGTCTTTGGATCTCTGCTACAATCTCCATCAAAAAGATTTTCTTGAGTAGCTCAAGATTTCTCTGAGTCCTGTCGTTGTATTCCACGACGTGCACAGGAGGTGAGTTCCTGTTCCATCCTTGGTCTAAATTTGTAAAATCACAGCCTTCCTGACACATTTTTCACACTCAAACACCAAAATAACAGACATGGACACCTCCCGTGTAGGCCTGCACCAGCTACCTCTGCAGTCTGCAACACAGCACCCCAGGGCTCGAGCAGGAATGCTTTACTGTTGGTTTTCTACCCACCTTCCCTGGACTCAGGCTACGCTGTTATCTGCGTTACAGTGCTGAAACACTCTGTGTTACACTCACCTACGCTGCTCCTGTTGGTTTAAGCACAATTGAGGCACAGTCTTGTTGGTAACTTGTTCTGCACACTTGCTGAAGCCCAGCCACAGCAAATTACACAGCTGTCATTAGATGTTCAGCTTCGAATGAGCCTGAGGAGAGGTTAATCAACAGGTAATATTCTTGTTCTAGGAAATAGTCCAGCAGAAGCTGTTGGTAAGGGTTTGTGCTGGTCTGGTTATGCCCTAGCTGAGCTAATGCTGAAGACTTTCTGCTCACTGCCTGCTCTCTCGCTGTTCTTGTCTCTTCCCTTCCTCAAGTTCGCACCTTTTGGCACCTGAAGAGTCGGTGCTTGAGGGAAGCTTAAGCTGTCCCAGCCATAACCGGCATAGCCGGTGCTTGCCGAGAGGCCTGGGGAGAGTCAGGGCCCAAGAACGAGCCCATTCTCAGGGTCTGCACAGCTGTTTGTGGCCGTTGCTGTAGCAATGGTGAAATGCTGACCAGGGAGCAGGGAACAGCCCGCTGTGTCTCTGGAGTTAATAATATGATTTCATGTAGTACATCAAACAAGAATGCAACAACTCAGCAACTCTGCTTTAGGAGTCCAAAGGAAACCAGATGAAGCTATGCAGTTTTGTTTTACAATATCCAGAGTCTTTCTGCGAGCCACCTTCTTTTATAAGTGTTCATTCTCCGGGAGTCCTCTGAGGATCAGAACCTAGTCAATGTGCGTATCTGTGTGATTTTCAGTTCAGACTTTGCACAGGAGCTCTGGACGCTCTTTACGAGCCAGGGAGATTCACTTATCAAGTCTCAGCTTTTAACCCACCTTGCCAAGATTCTTCCCAACATGCACCCATTTATACTTCACCCATTTATTCAGTGGCACACACACCCCTCGAATACTGTACTTCCTAGGGACACCAATCTCGTGACTGCTGGCTTTCACTGCAGCAGATCAGTTATGCAGCCATTCATGCAGCCAAGAAAATGCTGTAATATATTTATTTTAATATTTAAATACTTATCTTAGTTCATGATTGCTTTTACTAAACCATGTTCTTTTTTGTTTGCTTTTCTGAAGTATCAAGGAGAACATGTATTAAACCACAGTGAACTATAAGCCTGAGTAGCCTAAGACTTTCACCTAAAGCATTTTTAGTGTTGATACTTATGTGAATTTTAATCTGTGAACCATAAAGTATAACAGATAAAGTAAAGCAGTCATAGAAATAGTGTGAAACTTGAGCTTCCTTTTGGCTTGTTACACATGTTCCCATCCAGATATAAAACACATATGATCTGTGTGACAGAACTTATAATTACTATGCAGGTCCAATTTCAATTTTCCATAAATATTTCATGAGTAAACTCCAAGTCAGGATCATTTGGTGAAGACCCTCGTGAAGCTATTAACTAACCAAGACAGGGACCTGCGGAAAACCCATCCACAGGAAACACCGTGGCACTTGTCAGTTGCACTGACATTTATGAGTCATTCTCTCACCTGCACTGCAGGGAGGACACGGGACATCCTGCCGGTGCCGTCCCCAGGTGAGAGCCGCGCTGAGGTCAACAGGACCTTACGGGTTTGTGACTCTTCCAGGTGAGAGAACATTAACGTGAACCGGGCGGCCCCGTCCTGCCGGGCAGAGCCTGGAGCCCTGGTCCCGCGCCCGGCTGGGGTCAGTCAGAGCCACCTGCTCCTCCCGATCCCCTGCAGGGCTCAGCGCAGGAGCTGCCCGGCCACTGGCACTCGGGGGCCAGGCAGCGCCAGGCCCAAGGCGCGGCGTACACGGGCAGCGAGCAGCTTCCAGACAGCCCGGGGCTCAGGCAGGCCATAAGGGAGGGTCAGTGCTGGAGCCAGCGGCTTTGCTGGGGGCACTGGAAACCTGTTTGATGGCTGGGTCTTGCCAGATCCCAGGGTTTTGTTATTAGTCTCTGCAATTGCCTTACATTTACTGCTGTGGGTAAGAGATGCCCCCAAGGCATGAGGATAGACAGTGCACCAGAGAATAAAGTTGAAGAGCTTGCGTTTCCTGCTCCTGCTAGGCTCTCGTGGCTCAAATGTGAGTGATTTTCCTGTGTCTGAGGCAGTTGAGGAATGAGGGCAATGTACGGCGTTGGGGTCCACACTATGGCTGCTGTTCGTTGAGTGATGGCTGTGGAGCTCAGCTGATTTCTGCATTCTACAAGATAGCTTGGTACAGGATAAGGCCAGAAGTACACAAACAGTTATTGTTAATTTGGGTGCGAAAAGAAGCAAGGAGGGTGTTGCATCTCAGGACTCTGGACTTGAAGCACTGCTGGGCCTAGCCGGGCCCTCCAGTTTCATCAGTGCTGAAGCTGTTTTGTCTCCCAGCCATTATCACGTAGTAAATCTGGAGATAACAAATGTCACAGGATAGCAGACAGCATGGATTAAGTGCAGTTTTAGGGTTAGGGATCTGGAATAAAAGAGTTGATGGGGTCACCTGCTTGATTGCTGATTGCTTTAGTTCTTGTGTCCCAGGGTTCACAGATATCAGCTAAGTGCAGTGCTAGAGAAAATACCAGGGTCCACTTCTGTGGGATCTGTAGGTATCAGTGTATCATTTGTTGTGCGACTGACTGGGACAGAATCAGGAAGAAAGTAGCAGGAGTAATGGGTTTTTATTTACTCCAAGACCAGGAGTCAATAAGATAGGATCATACTGGGATTAATATTATAGTCAATGTCAAGGCTGGCTTTTGGATTTTGTCCCTCCTTTGGCTGATGCTGCCTCTCAGATATGGTGTCAGTCTATAATTAGGGAGTCTGTAATCCATAGATAAGTGGCTCCATGCTCTGAAGTCTCCATCTGTTGTACACACTGAAATCATTATATCTCTAGTCTCAGTCCTCCTCCAGGCTTCTAAAATGGTTTCCACAGGATTTTCTTTGTTGTGCAAAGCAGCTTGTTCATGGCTGTCACTTGGTGGTCAGGCACTAGAGCAGACATTGCACAATGGCCTCTTGTCAGTGTGGCACAAGCTGTGGGATGCTCCCCTGTCCAAGCAGAACTGGGGCTTTGGAATGTATTTTTCTGCCATGTTCAGACTCAGCCCCCCTCGACCCAGAGCAGATGGCACATTGCCAGTTACTAGGCCTTTTACTATGTTTGGAAATCTCTCAAACAATGGAAAACTACTGCCAGCCAAATGGGCTGCAGAGACAACACAGGAACCTTTTAAAATGCAGTCAAACTTCTTTCCACACAAGCCATGAGTGCTGGCCATACCTGCCCCTGACAGATGCACAGCTCAGCCCTGTTCAATGACAAAACAGTGGACAAAATGGACAGGCCTCACGCAAGGGCTGCCCAAACAACTGCAGCCTGATTCTGGTTACCATTGTACATCATTCCACGCATGCACAGGAAAGGGCAAAATCAGACCTAAGATACACTGACGCCTGGGCTTACCATTCTGAGTTGTATCTGTTCAGGATGCCAGTTTCATTGCACTGGTTCTTCATTCCTCCAGCAAAGATCTCCAGGCTTACACCAGCAGCAGCACAGACTCGGCGCTTACACTGCAGCTTTCCTGTGAACTTCCTGATGCGGGTGCTGTAAGCAGCACCCTGCCTGAAATAAAGCAGTCATTTTATTACCAATTTTCAAGAGTAGCGTGGCAGCCCCAGTGTCCTCGCCTGAAAGCTGTGTGGCGCACAGCGACAGCCTCATCGCCTCTCATCCCATACAGGGGGCATGGCTGCGCTCCACTGCCTTACCCAGGAAAGCTCTGCAAAGCCTGACTCAGCTATGCTGCCACTGCCACACAACAGCAGGAGGCTGCTCACAGACATCCTGTGGGAAGCAGGGGCTGCAGAACTTCTGCAGCACCCACATACAACCTCCATCCCACTGGGGTTTCCAGATGAAAAAGCCCACTCAAGCAGAGCTGCCCTTCTCAGGCAGGTGCAACGCTCAGTGTGGCACTGAGCTCCTTTTCTGGCCCTCGGACACCACTGATGGGTTTCAGCTGTGAGCTCACATCTGAAATGCTCACAGGTGAATCAGTCATTACCCAGACACAGCTGCCACAAAGAGGTAGTGACAAGGATCTTTGCCTCAGGGTCACAGCCCCAGCCAGGTGAGCCACTGCGGCCCCTCTTGTGTGAGCAGTGACACAAGTGCAGCCTCTTCTGTCCCACTGCACCCTGCCCCTTCACCAGTGACACTGCACACAGGAGGCCTCCAGAAGCAGTGGACAGAACACTTCCACCACGGGCAAACAGTGTCCAGCGGTGCCCTGGGAACAGCCCGGGACGCTCCTGCACTAGAGCAGTGGTGGGGCAGCACAGCCAGGACACCCACAGCCAATCTTCTGCGTGTGTTCCTGCTCTTGCCCGTGTCTCTTGAGCATCACCCACCTCGAGACACCTGCGGGCACCCCAGCCCTGCCCATGACAGCTTCACTCCCATACCAGATAAGCTCACTCCAAGGGGCCTGTAGCACACATCTATTCAACGTCCGTATCTGATCCCTTTGACTTAAGGCTGAATTAGTGGGGTTTAATATTAAATGCCCCTTGCGTGGTTTCTGGCCAAAGGCGGTGAGGTGCTCGGCTCACGTCCTCTGCTTCACTCAGTACCGGAAGGCCACGGTGCAGGGGGTGGACATGAACGCCTCTGAACGCGTGAGCAGCAGCGACCCGAACCTAACCCGAACTCTCTCTCTGGGACCCGCTCCGTGCGGCCGAGGCGTTGAACAGCGAACGAGCGGCAGCGGGCGGCGCTGCCCCCTGGCGGCCGGCGACGGCACCGCTCGGAGCCGGGAACTGCCTCCGCCCCGCCCCTGCAGCGCAAGCTCCGCCCACGAAGCGTCTGGGCCGCGGCCCCTTTGCAGCCCCCAGGGTAAAGCCGCGGCGGCGGCGCCCGCAGCGCTCCCGGTCGGGAGCTGCCCTGAGCGTTCCCGGTGTTGCCGGAGGGGCAGCGCCTGCCGCTCCCTGCGCCCCTCGCCCTGACCCACGGCGCCCGCTCCTCTCCCGCTGTCCTCTCCCCTCGCCTCACACGCCGAGCACACGCCGCGCATCCGCTTTCGGGTGTGGCGGCCCAGCCCCGCAGCCGCGCCCCGCTCCCGGCGGTACCCGGGACAGAAGAGGCGGACGCCGGGAGCTCCGGGAGTGTAAAGTGGCATTTTGTTTTGTAAAAACGCTGCTGTTTTATTCTTTGTACAAACTAAAACACCAGAGGTCATTGAATCCTATATTAAATACATAAATTAAAAAATAACCATTCATAAAACTTTACATACAATGAGGATTCTCTTCTACACGTTAATACATATAGTACAGATACATGTCCAGTGTTTATCAAAGGGTCATTCTGCCAAGTCATTTACAATTCTGTTCTGAACAGACACAAAAAAAAATGGGGACAAAAAGTACATAAAAAACACCTGGGTGCTGATGGGAGGGAAAGGAAAAACGCTTGGAATCGCCAGGAGCTGCGTGGCTGTTCCTGAGCCCTGCCCAAAGGAGCAGGAGAGCCTGGCCTGCCCAGGAAGCTTCGGGGGGGGGGCAGAGGGTGTTTCTTACTGAGATGAGGGCAGGGAGCTGGCAAATGGGGAACACCTACAGAAAAGTCTCCACGGTGTCCCCGCAGTCAGTAAGAGAGGATGGAGGTGGGAGGCAGGCTGGTCACAGTGCAAGAAGCCTCCTGTGACCTGCAGTGCCTAAATCCATCTCACCTCACTGGGCTCTCATCTGGAATGCTTAAAGTTGAAACAAGAGTCTTGAAAATCTCCTTAGTCAGTGGAGAAAAAGCAGCAACTCAGATTTTGGTCAAGCTGACTTGCACTACATGGTTCCTGTGACCACATGGATAGCCTGAGTAACTCCTGCCACGGGCCAGGATGGATGGATGGGGGTGGGGGGAGGAATCCAGGGCTCCATTTGCTGTCCTCAAAAGCTGCAGTAAATCGGTTTTCATTTTGTTGGTTGGTCTGGGGAGGGTTGACTGCAGTGAGAGATTTCAGGGATGATTCTCAATACTTTGCCTCAGTGAGTACCAGGAGCAGCAGAAAGCCCTGGATAAACAGCTTCAGGACATCGAAGGGGTGAGAGCTCAGAAAAACAGATCCAAAACCGAGTTGCCCATGAGCTGTAAAACTAAACCATGAGGAGTGCCCCAGTTGTAGCAGCTAAACAAGTCTAGATTCAGTTCCCCACACCTAGATTGGAAGTACACTTCCATAAGCTATATCAATGATTTACTATATACAATAGGGAATAAATGCATATGTATGTATATAAATGTACATATACATATATATTGTATATAGATACATGTATATATATACACAAAACCATCAAACTCATTTTGATCTAGCTGATAGCAGAAGGTTTGTATTACTAGTATCAGCAAGTGTGTTTTAGGCATGGCTTATGTTACCCTGCAAGCAGAGTAAAGCAGCTGCAAGGCTCTCTGGCGGGAACACTCAATTGTTTACAAGTCTGCAGACCAAGATAAGCTGTGGACTGATACCACTCCCAGCCACCTGGAGCCCTTGGAACATAGCACCTGCAGGTGCACGTGTGCAGAAGAGTGAAGGAGAGGAAATTAGGCAAAAAAAAAGTAACTGAAGATGTGCACAGCACAGTTCAGAGGGCCTAACTGATGAAGCCTGCCGCAAGATCAGTCAGTGTGTCCAGAAACATGGGATTTCTATCTGCCAGGACCCTTCCTCATGAGTGCCTGAAACAAACTTTTCTAATCCTCCTTTTGTTTTGTTCTTTTTCAACCAAGCAGAGGTGGAAGCTTTTGCTCTGTCACAGAAAACAGGCGCTGCTCATTCTACAGGAAGAGCTCAATGGTTTCATTGCCGGCCCTAATGCTAGGGCAAAGAACTTCCACAGCCTGTTTCACCTTGCAGGACACTGCAGCCAACTGGAACAATGGACTGCAACAGAGGAAAACAAACAGTGAGAGGTGCTAGAGAGAATAACCACAGAGGAAACTCTCATTTGTAGCTAATAAGATGTTGTGAAGTTGCTCAGTGATCTAAAGGTGTCACGTGTGTGGATGAGACTTCCAAAGGGGCTGACTCCAGAGCTTCAGGACTGAACTGCTAGCAGCACTCTTGGAAAGCACATGTAGGTTTGGGACAACTTTAACCACAGATTCTTCTGGGGGAAAGAGTTTGAACAAAGAGCATGCAACATACCTATATTCATTTAACATACGTGCCTAAAAGCCTGTCTTAAAAAAATGAACCAACCAACATACAGCTGGTGCAGAATTCAGTAAACCCCTTGGCTGAAACAGACTGCTTAAGGAAGATGTGGTCATTCCATAATTTAAATTAATTTTAAGGAGCAGGAAAAACTCACTTGCTAAATAGCTTCTAGTGTTTGATGGAAGGCTTAACTCAATCTCAGGGCATGCAAGAAATGAGGATGGTAAGAGTCTTTGTGGAGAAATGGAGCCCAGCATTGCAACCCAGTTGGGTGAATGGACATTAATGAATAAAAGCTATTCTGGCCAACAAATACCTGCAAGGAGCAGGCACCCCTCAATACTAAAGGAACTTCATCTCTGCTGTAGCTAAGGAACTGCTTCTGACCTGCTGAAGTTGCTGTGGCAAGTTACTTCACTGCTTTGTGCCTCAGTTGCTTCATCTGTAGAAATAAACAAGCAAACAAAGGACAGACTGTTTATAAAAGCACTTTTAAAGCTTCTGGTGTGTGCGTAAAGCGTTGGTACACTTGAGGCCTATTTTGAAGGTTTAAGTAATGCGCAGGCTGTATTCTGGCCCTCAGTTTTCTATTTTGTAATACGGACATCCATTTCTCTCAGTGAAAAAAGTAAGGCTCAATCGTGGAAGACAACTTAAAAAGGAGCCTTGCCACAGGAACCCAAAGTCTAAACAGGTACAACTCCATTTGCACGCCGATGGAAACAGTGGCACAGAGAAGTGCCCTGTTCAGTACTTTCCATTCAGCACAGCAGTGCTCGTGGGGTGCAGGACCTCACCATGCCGGCTGCATCTGTGATGCTCCTGACTGCACAGCACGGACCTGTGAGACCTCGGGGAGACACCAGGACTGGGCTCCAAGCTTTGTGGTTAGAAGGGGAAGTAATGCTTTGAAATGCAAACTACTCATACTGGTCCTTAGCTGTGGAAAAATCTATAAAGACTAGCGATACTTTTGACTTAATAAGACGTGTTCACACAGCTTGTCCCCAGTTTTGGTTTATGTGTCACTGATCAGGAAGCCAGCTAACAAAATCAGTTTGACAAGCTAAACCAAAACATATGTTCCAAGCTGGGACCACACAGTTGGAAGCTGCTGCATTGTGGATTGTACCACATGGACTTTTCCCTCCTCCACCCTCCAACACTTTTTTTCTTTCTCAGAAGCTACTCTGCAGGTCCAATCCAGTGATCCTCAGTGTATTATTCAAATAGTAAAACCAAGTACAGTCATTATTATCTCAATGGCAGTCTCTAAATAGAGTATGAAAAGTGTCTGACAACAGACAGGCTGTTCTTCCTGGAGGGAGAGTGAAGAGAGATAAGGCTGGAACTCCATCAGAAATCCTCCTTATGCCAGATACCCTCTTCTTCCCTTCCTTTGCTGAGTAGGGTGGTGCTCTTTTATGGTCTCAAGTGCAAACTGTGGTGCCCTGTCCTGCCCATCCTGTGTTAAATCACACTGCATTTTTCCTTTCTTCCCCCACATCGCAGCCATAATTTGTTCCTGAGGTTAAAACCAAAGGGAGGAGGAGTCCCTACAGTGAGAAAGCCAGACAGTTCACACTGAGCGCTTTGTTGTCAGCATCTCTCCATGGCTCATGTTTCTTCTGCCCTGTCAACTTTTGATCTGTTCGTGGTACAACGCTCTCACATTTAAATGATTGCCCTGCACAGCAGGGATAGGTTTTTCTGTTGTAACTTTGGTTCCATGCCCAAGACACACTGACTTGATCAGCTGAAAGTGGTTCCTTCCCGTTAAGTTCTTCCCAAGTGATGTAGGTTCACAGTTTGTTTTTCTTCCCCTTTTCCAATTTCAACATGTAGAATTTCATTAGATGCAGCATATATCATAGCTTTAGAAAGGAACTGTCAAGTAACAAATCTTGAGTGATGGCTTTAAAATACAAGGTGGTTGCAGTCTTGGCTACAGGTTGTTCAATGTTATACTTTTTAAAATAGGTGTAAACAATGTTCTCTTCATCAGGGGGTGGAAGCATTTGCCTTTATATGGACTGAGCTGTGGTCGGGCACTCTGAAAATAAAATAAAGAACATCTGTATCAGCCAAGTGAGAAGTTCCTCCACCTCCCCACCCTTGACCAGACGCAGCTATCAGTCAAAGCTGAAAAGGTCTGTTCTTACAGTTATCAGCGTTAAACTGGTTTTGTTTGTCCATATGAAAGGCATTTGTGAAAATTCTGAGTATTTTGCCAAGCCTGTCCATTTAACCCTAACCCTAATGTACAGCCCTCTCGTCCATAAAAGCCCCCATGGGCATCTTCAGATGAATATTTACGCACCAGTTTCAGTAACTCTTGAACCAAAACTGCCTAAAATTCACCAGTGAAAGGAGACATGACAGTGGGTGGTATGCTTGTGGTGTCAGGGCAACCCCAGAGCCTTGGCTAATGCAGCAGTGAGGCAGGCACAGACTGCTCCAAGGAAGCCTTCCCTACATATGGAAAAGAATTATGGTTCTCAGGTTTGAAACCAGGGAAAAAAGGCCATATTTTTTCTGTATTCTCTCAGCATTCAAGCCTACATGGTAAAAATCACAGAGTGAATTCAAATTCACATGAATGAGAGGCAAATACTCAATAGAAAAAATATTCCATACCCATAAAGGTTGAAAATATAGGTGAAAACTTTATGTACAGAAAATCCTGAACCTCTCATTGCCCTAGTTTTTCTCATTTGCTTCAAAAGGATTTTATCATAGCTGTGGTATAAACTAAAAGGAGGACAACAGTATAGGCAATTGCAGACACTCGCGCAGACAGGTTCTTGCAAATGTCACTGTCAGTTCCTGTGAGTTTTCAAGATGCACCTTAAAATCCAAGTTTGTTTGGTTTTAATCACAGAGCTATAGAATGGTCTGAGTTGGAAGGGACCTTAAAGATCATCCAGTTCCAAACCTCAGCCACGGGCAGGGACATCTTCCACTGGAGCAGGCTGCTCCAAGCCCCGTCCAGCCTGGCCTTGAACACTGCCAGGGATGGGGCAGCCTATTTTCTTTGTTTTTCTGACTCTCTCTTTAGGCTGGCAGCTTGTTCTGGACTCATGATTGTCTGTTACAGGAAAAGACAGTCAGATAAATTTACTTGTTACTGTGGCTCCTTAAGACTAGCCTATACTATTTCAGACTTTCTGATCTTTTTCCCCACAGTGAATAAGCAAGAAGCTGTAAAATCAAAATTTCACCAGTCATGGCCACTCAGAGCATCTCACAGAGGCTGTGCTGTGTTATGGTTTCCAGAAACCCTGTGGCAGGAACATTAATAAGTATGCAGTCTTAACTTAGTCCATTTAATGTCCACTGGATCAAGGCAGTATGTTTCAAATAGCAGCAGCTACATAATGGCACTGGCCATTGTTAACAAGTGTGCTGGATGGTGCTGGTCTGACTGCAACTCCCTGTGGCAACTCAGAAGTGTGATGACTCTCCATTGTGAACTGTCACAAATTGACAACCTGCTGAATTCTCTGACTCCAGACATACACAAAGGCACACAGGGATGTGATCCTCAGCTCTATGCAAGAAGCACCATCTTGGAAGAAATAAAGAAAATAGTCTTACCTTTCCAAGAGGCACATTGACATCAAGGCCAAAGAATAAAGGCAAGAGAGAAGAACAAGAATAGAAATAGAAACTGCAGAAGAAAAAGAAGATGGTGTAAGAACTAAAGGTCATGGCATTGTAAGCGTCAGAATTACTTTTGCACTCTCTAGGACAACTAGAGTGACTATGCATTTGGAAAACACTATTTCCCTAGTTACTTCTGTAGGTACCATACCACCTCTCAGGTTTAGAAAACTGATCCCATTAATTTTTGTGATCAATTAGAATTGGCACCATATTGAAAGCCTGAGATAAAACTGCCACTATGAACTATGATGGGTTGACTTAAGTCAACAAAGCTAGATATCAGAAATAGCATAGGTAGTATTTTTAAGTGCATTAAAAAACTGCCATCAATCCATGCTGGAAATAGCCCGGGAATATCTATATCCATATATATATATATATATATATATACACACACATACACACACATAATATCAAACCCTAAGAATTAAATGTTTAATAATAAATTTTTTGATGTCTCATTTTAATAATGAACATGTTATCTTCAGAGATGCGAATTTTTGTGAGTTGAAAATTGACATTAAAATGTCTCCTATCCAAGGTCTCCATTTGACCATGGCATAAGTTCTGCTTTGCTTTTTTATTTTCATCAAAGATTATCATCTGTTATTTTTCCAAGTTACATATGTTAGAAAGACAGACACAGAGTCCTTATATCACAAAAACATTGGTAGAAAAGCAGAAAGAATTATGTGTATCAAGTTTTGCACTATGCCCACTTGTTTCACTTTAGGAACATACATACAAACTGAAAGGGCTTGTTAGCACTGCTGCCATTATACAAATAGAGCCATTATTTCATATGCTGTTTCACACATGGATGTTGGTATTTATTAATAGAAGTACATCATCAAGGCCACCACCAGAGATGCATTTTACACGAGTCTGGCATTTCTAGAAAAGACATTCTTGATAGCAGCACACTCTGCTATAACCTTTTTTCAGCAACCCCATCTAACCTAGCTACAAGTAGAAAAATGTGTCAATGTGACAGAGTTGGCCTTATTCACTGAAAAAAAAAAATGCAGTGCATATTTTGACAGAGTATGTGTGTATATATGTATTACATATAAAGAACGTGCATATATAGTTCTTTGGCAGTTTAGTTTAAGGACAAGATTCTAGTGCTATATTTATGTCACATAGTAATTACAAGCTTCAGTAAAAAGGACAGCATCAGAACCTGAGTTCTATAGTCCTGCCAGATAAGAATCATTTTCACTTGGTTTCATTCAGTCCTTCCTGCTCGCTAGCCTCACCTGGCCTTTGATGGAAGCATTGCCTGTCTACCAACACAGCATTTAACAGCCAAGTAAAGGCTTCCTTGTTTGCCTTTATCATTCACCATAATTAAAAGTGCTTGGCATATATTTCCTAAAATGAAATATTGCAGAGGGGACTCTTAAGATTATAGTCTGAATATACAAACTGAAAAGAAAGCATAGTAGAACAGCACCAAGAGATCCAGCTGATTCAGCATAACAGAAAGCTTGTGTAATTCACAAGAACTAGGTCATCATGTTCCAAAAAGTTGCTCAGTGTGGTTCAGAAGCGTAACAGAACCAACCTTTTCCTCCAGATCCTTAATTTGTCTCTTCTGGATGTCAGTTTTATCTTCTAAATCTCGGATCCTCTAAAAATCAGAAAAGAAAGCATCTAGACTGAATTCTCTGTAAATCTGCTCTGCTGAAGTAATAACTTAACCTTCCGAGTGCCAAGAGCCTGGAAATTAACAAATGCATTTCTCTGGCAGAGTTAATCTTGTGAAGTACCACGACCCCATCCACCAACCTTGCCCAACCATGTCTTTACCATGTGTACAACTGCTCAAAACATGCTACTGCAAATATGTGACTGTATCCTCAAATGCTGGACATTAATATTAACTAAAAAAACTAGATGCCAGGCTCCCTCATGACCTGGAGCTTGCCTAAATTTCACCTCAGCTGATGTTCTTATACAGCTAATCTGAGTAGATACACATGTACATGGTTCCTTTTTCTTACCTGATGAGCCTGCTGGAGCAGTTCCATCCTCTCCTGAAGAATCTGGCAATCATATTCTCTGCTTTTCCTCAGCATCTGACGTCTTAGCTTTTCTACTGCTGTCCTCAGCTCTTCCTGCTGTTTTTCAGTCAGTAGTTCCCCAAACTTTATCACTGTTTCTTGCTGCAAAGCATTGTACAAGGTGGCTTCAAGCTCCTGGATCCTCTGGTTGATGCAATACCAAAAGCCAATTAGAGATGAAACATTGTTTAAAACACAGTGGGAATTGTGGACTTGGTGGCAGATTCAGGCACCTGCATGAGAGGTGGGCTCTGTGCTCAAGTGTGCAAAAAATGTGGAAAACGGAACTCAAAATGGTTCAGCATTTTGACAACAAGATATGAACTTTTATTTTTAAAATCTTTTCATATAATTTTCACCGAAATCCCTAACTTTTACACTTTTTTTTTTTTTTTAAGCAGTTACAGAGATATTAGGAGTCGTATTTTTCCTGCCTATAAGGATCAATATATCACCAATTCTAAAATTCTGACCCATTGTGCTAAAAAACAGGAGGGAAGACTGAAGGTCACTGTCAGACTACTTTGGTCTTAATGCTGCTAATCAAGGAGCATTCTCATTCCAGATCTGAGTTCCAGTTGGTTGCACTGACTCCAGCTGGACAAGCTGACGTTAATGAGCAATATTTGCCTTTAACTGACAAAAATGTTTCAGACTTCAGGAGACCTGCCTTTCTGTGACAAGAAAAAGGCAGATGCCGTGGTGACTGTGCAGACTGCACGGCAGAGCACTAGAAGAAAGGGAAAAATAAAAATTAAAAAAAAATGCTAGGAAAAAAGCAAAAAACTCTCTTGCTGATCCAGCAGGAGTCTGTGTCCTTTCACAGTGCTGGCCAATATATGCTGTAGAATCCCCTTTGTACATACCATGTATGCCTGGTCAAGAGCCTGCTTCCTGTAGTCCAATTCTTCCTCCAAATAACCTTTTATTTTGCAAAACTGCTCCTACAATGAAGGATCATGTAGACAGAAAAATTAATGAGTTACTCCAAATATTTGGAGAACTTTTATACAATCAACTACAATTATCTGACTCAGGCAGGATTAGAGACTGGTCGTCAAATGACACTCTGCGGAGTTATTAATATCTGAGCTAGAAAAGAAGGAAGGGAAAATAGCTGCGGGCCACTTGTGTAAGATAATACATCTGATCTACATGGAACATCATCTCTTGGTTGACTTCAGTGATATTGCTTTGCATTTCAGTAATGTAATTTTAGGGTTTCTGTACAATTTCTCTAAAGTTACGTCTTCTGGCATCATGGACAACTCCTTTTGTGCTTTCTCTTATTCTAGAAGTATGAAAGTGTAATAAGCTAAACAAGCGTATTTATGTTCACATTATGTGGGGGAAGCTGCTCTGCTTTAACTTCTCAGCCTACCTTAAGCTGAATTGACTCAAGTACAGACAAACCGCAGGAACAGAATGTAAACCACTACAGCTATCCAACTCTTGTAGTTATGCTTGTTTATCTTGTATGTTAACTAGAATAAGAACAGAGTAAGGTACTAACTTTACTGGTGCTATAGCAACTTCAGTTCAGCTGTGAATGTTTTACCTTTAGGATGGTATAGGCTTAAAATGTAATGAAAGAAAACAGTGTAATAATTCATTACTTTCCCATATACTGGTGTTTAATAGAATGTGATACAACAGCTGATGTTTAGACTGTGAATCTTATGAGACAAAGGGTGCAGTCATTTTCATTTCTGAAAAATCACTGAGCAACCTTCTAGTCCTCTGTACTTTTAAACAGTCATCCACATGGAAATAGAAAGTTTTCAAACCTTCATTACTTCTGTTTCTGAACCAGACCAGTAACAACCTCATGAATTCATCAGAAGAAGACTACATACCTAATTTGCCAAAAGACCTTTTTAGTTCTCTTTTGGCATACCAAATGAATGTGACACACTCAGTACCTTGTCCCTAAAACGTGTATTGGGGAAAGTTTGCTTACCATATCACTTTCCAGTTCCATCATCTTCTGATGCAGAGCAGCTTCAGCTCCCTCAATCTGCTGGATCCACTGGAGGAAAGACAATGAGAGCTGTAGCCTGCTGTGTCTTCTGGGCACATGAGCAGTGGCAAGTGGGACATCTACAGTATCTTGTTAGTCTATTCTTAGTAACCTATTGCTAGTTTAGGCCCATCCTGAGGCTGTTTTTGTGTGACAGGGGCAGCCACAGTGTCTGTAGGCAGCCCTTGACAGAGAAGAAGCAACAGGATCACCATTACCAGATTGCTGGAAGATGGAAAAGCACACTTCCTTGGATGGACAAGAAACCCATTTCATCCCATTGATAAGGGCCCACGACGAGGCTCTAGCAGCTTATAGAATCATAGAATGGTTAGGGTAGAAAGGACCTTAAGATCATCCAGTTCCACCCCCCTGCCATGGACAGGGACACCTCACAGTAGACCGTGTCACCCAAGGCTCTGTCCAACCTGGCCTTGAACACTGCCAGGGATGGAGCATTCACAACTTCCCTGGGCACCCTGTGCCACTGCCTCTTCAAAACTATCTTAAAAATAGCTTAGCTGGGTAGATGGCCATTCCCTTTACAGAGAAGAAATTGTTGACTAGAATCCTTGGAAGCTGTCATGTTGACAAAATAGTGTACTGCATTTGTGCCACAGAAATCAATTTTAACCAATCCTCACTTTCTTTTTCATTTCCAAACCAAGGAACTTAGGCACATACTTACAGTGGAAATGTTGTATACAGATCCCTTCAGAAGCTTTGGAAATGTCAGGACTAGAGATCCCATGCTATGACTAACTGCAGCTTCAATGTCTGATGGTTTCTCATTCAGTTTACATTTGCAAGTTTCATTAGACATTCTTTTTTTATTTGCATTTGTTGTGACTTCACAGCTTGGGCCAGCTGAGTTTGGTGGTTTTGCTGCTTTAGCAGGTGTTTGGGACCATGCTGGCACAGTTTACTTCATCTGGGGATCACTTCCTACACTAGAAAGTTTGACAATATTGACAACAACAGAGCAGAAAATTTCCAGTGTTATATGAGGCCTTAGATGACAAATGAGAAAAGCAAGCACACAGTTTACCTTTTCTGCCAAGGACAACACAGTGGAGGCCTGGATTATGGCCACTTGTTCTTCATTTCTCAAATTCTGAGTAGGGAAAGAGAGGGAATAAGAAAATTGGCGGCAGTTTCCTTTATGAATAAAGATAATCTAGGTGATACATTAGGTCTACCATTTTCAGGGGATCCCTCTAGTACTGGGTATCCCATAAGCCCATCAGTCTGTTAACATATTAAAAAGAAGACTGCTTTTGTCTACCTGCATGATACGGACTAACTATATGTTTTCATTCCACTGCGTCTTAAGAGAAATCTAAACTAAAATTAGACCCGTTTGTCTTTCCTCCTGCTAGTTTTACAAAGCTGAATTTCCATTAATGCTTTTCTAAAGACAATGCTGATTTACACCAGCACGTGAACAGACAATCATGAGCCTTCGTTTTTATTTCACTTTCTTAAAACATACCTAAGATTGGCCAGAGATGCAAGATGATCTCTTACACAGATGACTAAAGCAGACAGCAATGTCCACTTAGAAAACCATGAGGGATTTGATAACTCTTGCCTATTTATGAAACTATATGCAGAGGAATCCTAGTCCTGATGAAGACTGGTTGGCTGAAACTGCCAAACAAATTCATGTGCTTTCCTGAATGACTGGAATTCAGTCAGGCCCAGTTCCCAGTATGTGGCCTTTGGACAGTCTCCCAGTCTGCTAAACCAGATGCTGAAGCTGCTGCTTCGTTACTAGGCCTCTGACTTTTGAAATCTCACAAATCCATAACTTACAGAAATAATAACTCTTTAAATTAATTGTTCTGATGCTGCATAATTTAACAAGTATCTTAGAAAATAGTCATGATAATTATAGATCTCAATTACACTCATGTACAAAATGCAGCTTGTAAAAGGAAAATATCTCTGACTTTAACTTACTCCGTTATCACCTAGGATGTCTAACTGCTTTATGAGGTCTGGGATGCTGACATCCTGCAAAAAGAGAATAAGGTATAGGCACAGAATGCACGTTTTATCACAGCTGCAGTATTCGTCCCTCCTACAATCCATGTTTAAATCAACCATTTTGTTTTATCCCATGGAAATGCATCACACACTGATTTCAATTACCTCTGAGCCAGGTTTTGTCATTATGGTGAAAATTGTGAATCCAGTTCAACTGTGTCAGTCATCATACACTCATTGTAGACTGAGTGTAAATGTTTAAAATTTACTGGAGTTATTGGCAGACATCAATATAATGGGTTACATGGGCACCACTCCTGTAATGAGAAGTGCTGCCTTATAAAACTGACCTACCTTAACCCCTTCCTTCATGCAGTAGATCTGTAGAGCACTCACACCATCTGAGAATGGGTGAATCTGGAGATTAAATGGTGGGGACCGTCTCTCTCTTTCCTGAAAATCAATTGAAAAGATGACAGAGAACATATTAGAACAAAGGAGGTGGACACAGAGCTCGTTAAATGCCATAGCTACTACATCATGCTTTGCAAAGCCAAGCTCCAAGTCAAAGATAGAAACATTTAGACCTAGTCTGAAAAACAGGGTGCCAAGTGGGATGGGATCCTGAATCCAGGTTAATTCTCTTACAGGAGATTATTGATTGATTAATTATATCAATTAGCAAATTGGGTGGGGAAAGGCTGTCACCTGCTAAGACTCAAGTGACTCGCCTAGTGAGGTACTGAACAACTATATACTGTTGTAAATACTGCCTTTAGAAACAGGTATTTGACTTAAGACTGCTAGGATACTCCAGTTACACATCTGCTTGTCCTGGTATGCTGTGTGTTCTAGTATCCGTGGAAAGCAGTAAGTTCAAACAAGCTGATCGAATCAGCTGTTTATACACCCTCATTGCACAAAATCAACAGGTATTTGTCCTGTCTTAAGGGACCAAAGACAAAAATAAAATCGGAAGATGTTATTTCTCATCCCTTTCAAGTACTCGGGGAAGCACAGCAGTGAAAATCAAATTTCAAATATATTCTTGGTTTATGTAATTCACTTGGTCAGACCCGTTCCACGTCATGGAACAGAGCTGTCAGGTAAAACTGGGAAAGATCTATAAATAAGGGACAAATCTGTCCCAGCACTGAACCATGAGAGCCAGGAAAGGCCCTGTGTTACCTTCAAGCTCTGAATGGCAAGTGTGTAAGGCTTTGGACAGCAGCTGCAAAGAGCAACTGAGAAATAAACCAGCTCATACTGGAGAAAAAGCAGATGGAAGTTTTTGTCTGTTAGCACTCCTATAACAAGGGGCAGACAGGAAGAGGGAGCTCAAGGTCTAGCACAGTCCTCTGGCCACCTGCAGAGGCTTCTGTAGCTCCTCCACTGATTTCCAGAGTCACCTGAGGGGCCTTTCTTCCCTAATGCAGGTCATGAGGAAAGCTGCTCAACAAGGAACCGGCAGGGACAGTGGGCGGACAGGCGTGCGAGGGCTGACAGCCTCTAGACGCAAATGAGGAGAGCTCTAGGCCAAGCACGCTGTGCCCATAGGCAGGCACTGCTGGCTTTTCTCACGTGCCAGCATTGGCAAGCATGATGATAAAGGCCACAGGAGCAAGACCACCTTCACCTGTATAAAACATCTCCTATCCCCACCACAGCGGCAGGGAACTGAGGTACAGAGATCAGATCTACGCGTGCCTCAGGAATCAGCAGCACAGGGGCCATTGCACAGCCTTGTCCCTTGGGCACCTGAGCTCTGCGCGCCCTCTGAGCCCAGGGCAGCAGCTCCAGCAGCACCGGGGATCCACCGATCCCCCCGCAGAGCCGGAGCAGCTCGCTGCAGGCTGCCGCGGGCCTGGCTTCATCCCTTCCCCACGGCATCTGACATGCACGCTGCTCCTCTGCAATGAAGAGTGCTCTAACCCCCGGGAACACATCGGTCTGGGGAGGACAGGCCCCGGCGCCTCTCACAGCCAAGGTCCCACAGTGAAAAGTGTTCAAAATTCTCTGGGTCAGAGGGGACAAGGTACAAACCTTTCACCCCCATAAGACAACAGCCCTGGGTATGACACTTTCTCTTACAACTGCTTATGCAATTTCATCAGTCATTGCTGAACTGAACTTCAAACAATTCCTCTCCTTCAAGCAAAGGCTGGAGAGGTGCACTTCTCACCCTGAGGAAGGAATTGCACCTGCATCTCTGACTTCTCAGAGGAACACTCCAGGTATTAGAGAGAAAAGTACACTCAACATTTCTTTCTCCTCCAAGACCTGCTCAGGTTCATGAAAACAAAAACAAAACAAAAAAGAGCCCCCAAAACCAACCAAACAACAATTCCACACAAAACCCTGGGTACCTACTCACGGGAGAGATCTTAGCTGTGAACCGGGATACAGCCCTGAGCAAAGCACGTGAGTAACTGCTTACTTAGTTAATTCAAATGTAATTAATTTCTGTTCATTTTGGTAGACTTCAGGACAGCAATAAGAACAAAGAGACTGCTCCGAAGTGCTAGAAAAGCTGTATCTGCAGGTGTGGTAACTAAGAGCCACACTGACATTAACCAGCTAAGCTTATCTATGCACGCTGGGCACCTCACTCAGAGAGGTTTCCAAGGTATTAGGGCTGGCATACTTCAGCTCACAATTAAAAATGCTGGCCCTGATTTGTTACTCTGTTGTATCACTACAATGCCTGTGTAAACACTTGGTTAAAACTGGTTCCCAGTGCAAGTGCAGTAGTTTAACTCGATACCAGCTCTACTGTAATGAGCCCATCCATCACCTCCAGCTCAAGGTTGCGGAACTCCAGCAGCTCATTCTGGTCTCGGGCATCCTGAAGCTCCTGTTGCAGGCGGTTGTTTTCTCCTTCCAGTTTCTCTATCTAATAGAAACATGTAAGTTCAGGATCTGTGTGACTGTTACAAGAAATATTGAACATTTGGTGAGTGGCAGCTGAGGTAGCATAGGCAGTGCAAAATCCAAACTCTAGAGATGATTCACTACTTGCTGTTTTACCTCAGTGAATCTTTAGTTTACAGGTGAACTTCTGCTCATCAACTTCCTAAATATCATAAAATGCTTAGGCTGGAAATTTCCCTAAAAGGGTCTAATCCTAGTGAAGATCAGCAGGGAAGCTAACTCTACAGAGGTGTCAGGTTAGCTATCAGGTTAATCTGCATCAGCTGTTAAACACACTGCTCTCATGGCAAAACACTAGAATAGATTGTTTGGGGAGGGATGTGGAGACATCATTATTGAGGGGCTATGGGAAGATGATGGATAAATATCTGTCAGAAACACCTACCTTTGGAGAACTCAGGCTAGATCAGACATTCCCAGTGTGTAGCACCTGAAGCACAGATGGCATGCAGGGAGAGCCGTCTCTGTGGAGGCAGCTACCTGAGCAGCCATCCCTCCCCATGCAAGTGCTCATGTGAACTGCACAGCAAGCATCTCCACACAAGGAGTTCTGTTAGCAGATGAACTTAAACACCACCCATTCACCAACTGTCTATAAATTGCTTGCTGTGGACAAATCCACCACTAGCTCCTCAGCCTGCTCTCTTTTGCAAGTCTCCAACTAGTGCCAGAACATGTATTTTGCAATCAGGTTGCCTGAGTAGGGCCTTAGAAAAAAGCTAGGGAGCATGCTAAGACCCAGCTCAAATGTGCCCCCATGGGTCAGTTTGTCTGGATGGGGAAGAACAGCCCAGGGCTGGAAGATTATTAGGGGTGTTTACAGAAGAGGATGAACACAAGCAAAGAAATCTCATCTGGGGAGGTAAAAGCCAGCAGGAGACCTGGTGCTGGGAGTTCTGGCCTCTTGCTGATGGCAGTCATATGTATTGCCACTGCTGTTACTCTTGGTGATATGCAAGCAATGTTGAGGTCCTTCATATGCGTATATTCTATTATTATAAATATATAGATACAAATACACACACACACAAACAAACAGTATTCCTAAATGCACCAAGGGGCTGAGCCATACAAGTTCCATTAGACTTAGGATGACTTTAAGGCTTTAAAAATATAGATGACGCACAAGGACTAGGCCTATGAAAGGGTCCTGGTGTTAGAGGGTGACTGCGCTTTTACTGCTGTTTCACACCAGAAGCTAAGCTCAAAACATCCTGCCAGGGCAGTAGCAGACTCTTTAGTGCAATGCTACTGGAACACAAAGGTCTGCACCTCCGATTCAAAAACTGAATAGAGCTTCCAGCCCTCAGGCTGATGCTTACCAGCACAGTTGGTGCATCAGCAACTGCCAGCCATAAGGGTGCCTAAGTAAAGCTGAAGAGGGCTCATCTTTCTGTATGTCATCCTGTCCGTGTTAATCTATGCTGTTCTGTCCTTATACTACACATATAAGCACCACACTGCATGTCCAAAAAGTGTATTGCAGGATCCAGATTACATTTCAAAGTGAACACACAAAACTTGGGAACATACCTTGTCTAAAAGCTCTTGGTTTCTTTTAATGAAAAGCTGTTTGTCCTCCACCCAGTGCGAGTCCTGTTGGATGAAGCAGTACTATTACAAAATAATCAAACTCCACGAGGTTACTGAAAATTGGAGCCACAATATTCAGGCTTTAAAATCCTAGAGGAACAAACCGCCATTTACAGAACAATGTATTGTTCTACCAAGCTGTACTAAGGCTTTTGAACTCATTAGACCTGCCTGTTTACTGAACAGCAACATTACATCTCATGCAAATCTACTGAAATTGTGCCAGGTATTTTGTGAGCAGAGCAGGTAAGATCCGAAGCAGGAAAAGAAAATACACACAAGAAGTGCTTACCTGCCCTTTCTGTGCTAAAGTTTTCTCCAGATCTTCTATTTTAGCTTTATACCTCTGGACTTCAGCTTGGAGCTGCTCCTGAGCCTGTTGAAGTCAGGCACAGCATTAAATAATACAAAACAAGCAATGTGACTGGTACTAAAAGGAAATCAAACACAGCAGGGTCTTGGTTCATGCTGTTGCTTCCGCTGACTGTTACAGAGATTCTAGCTCAGCAGTGTTTTGTGCCACCCCACAGCTTGGGGTACAGATGACACAAGGAAACCGTGGCAAATCAGCTCCTCTCCCCACCCAAGCCTGTTACTACTGTGTACTGCATTACAGTAGTGAAACACAAGCTTAGGTATTTGGGGTGACAGGCTTTGCTCAAAGACCCTTGTAAGGGGCAGTCCCTGAACTGAAGAAAAGTGCTTAGTAGGATAGGAGCAGGACAAAGGTAATGGAAAGCAGCAACTGTAACTGCCTGGGGCAGCTTCAAAAGCCAACTCACCAACATGCTGAACAGCCTGATGCCATCTCACAGCTGACACTGCTTTTAGCAGGATTTAGGGCTGCAGACCGCCCGAGGTCTGAATGATTCCATGATTTTATTAGAGGAACAACATTTTTAGACTTGGAAGATTTACAGTAGTCTGCATCACATTCAAATTTGAATGCGATTTGCATTTCTTTGTTAGAAACATTCAGGTGACTATCTGAAAGCCCACAGGGCTCCATTTAGCTGGAAAACCCAACCCCTTCACACCATCTTTTGATGAGAATACCCTTGTGACCTGGTGCCAAACTGCAGAATTGCCTGTTTTGGCATGCCTGCCTAACTGCAGTTTTCAGGTTCAGGTGGAGGACAGTCCCATGTAAACCTAGTCATTGTGTCCGTTCTTAACAGTCACTCTCTTTAAATGCACTCAATAAATGAGTGAAATGGACAATTGTCAGTTGTATGGATGTTGTATGTGTGTTCTGTTAGGAATCAAATGCTTTTACCCTCAGATACTGACCTTGGCTTCTCTTTCAGCATCTATGATGCCCCCCGTCTGCTCCTGCAGTAGTGCGTATGCTCTCTGCAGGGCCTGGTATTCCTTTGTCAGCTGTCGGAACCGCAGCTCTGATTCTTCTGCTGCTAAACCCTGAAGGATAAGAAAGGACACGTTTAAGCACCAGACAGTAGAGCACTGCTAAAGCAAAGAATGCAAGTGTGATTTGTTAAGCACAATAGTTGGTTTACAAGTCTTGATTCAAATAGCTTTTTTTGGTGAGTTTACTGTAACATGAAGTAATAATGTGGAATTTACACAGAATTTATGTCTTTAAGCTAAAAGAAATGTGATAGGTTTATTTTCTTGAAGGAGAGAGGGAAAAAAAATCATGTCAGATTGCAATGAAGTCATACTGTAGATTCTATGGACTAGATTTTGAAAGAACTTCTCAGCATTTTAGTGTATCAGTAAGCAAAATTGAGGCCAAACCTAATGAAGAACTTAGCACTCAGTACACACTATAAAGACCTCAGTGTTTTGAGAGCCCAACCACTTTTGGAAGTCAAAGTCTCCTGAAAATCTCTCCTTGCCTATGGAAAGAGCCAGCTCTTACCTCATCTAGATCATCATCTGGGGTTGCTGGTGTTCTGTCTGTTCTATATGAGGCCACAGAGGATGTTTCAGAGTCCATGGAATCATCATCATACCCAAAAACTGTATCCACCACATGTCTCTAAAGGAGGGAAAACATGATTTCTGAATCTCCTTGGAAACATGGGTTTCTGATGGGGTGAAAAGGGCAGTCCAAAATCACATTGCTGGTTACTTAAAGGCAAGACATAAAAAAAAGCGATGGGCTACCCCTGCAACTACCATCTCCAAAACAACCCAAAAAGAACCATATGGAAGATTAGGTCTTGGACTGGTGGAGAATGAGTTTGCTGAGTAATTTTTTCTGAGCTGAGAACCTGGCTCAGTCTAAAACTTGGAAAACACCATGCTAAAGGAAAAGTCTCTGCTCTTGCAGGAAGGCATAAGAATTGTTCGTTAACATGAAAGCTGCTCAGAAGACATCTCTCAACATGCAGACTGGTGGGCAAAGACAACACCACAACAGCATGGAAACGCATGTAGAATAGGGAACCCTCCTTATTCTCTCAAACTGCTGATATTTTTAATATCTCGGAGCTTTTCTCACTGATACTGCTGTTGGAGTAAGTGAAAGTTATGCTAATACAAACTAGCATGAAGTAACTTTTATCTCGCACAGCTTTCCAGTACTACAGTAACTCAGTTACAATCTCATGTGGTAAGAGACTGCTAACACTACACACTTTGGTTAAATGTCCGACACCTCACTATCTTCTATCTGAGTAACGGAATTAAATCAAATGAAAACTGTATGTCCTATGAAGGTATAGATGCCTGGCCCTGCTGGCTTAGCTTCAGGGCACAGATTTCAGCATTTAAATACTTGGTTTATGAATAATTCTGCAGACAAACTGATCAATGGGCACTTAAGATGCACTTCTGCTTTGCAGCATTTTTCACTTTTGCTTACAGGTTGCAGCCTTCTAAACCTGGAATTTTAATCATACAAAAAACATGTACCAAAGATGCCAGTAACCTTTTGCATATATTATCTTTTTATGTTGTTCATTATTGTAGAAGACAATAGCCATATCCTCCCATGTTATAAACTCTGGCTTTGAAATAAAGTTGACTGATTAAAATATTTTGTAGTCCTTGTCTGCCAGCTATGTCTGCTGTGTCTTGCTTCAAAACCCACAGAGAAACAATGTGATGACACTGAAATTCTCTTGTGTGTAGGACAGTCCTGCATTTCTTTCACAGAACGTGGCTGACATACCAGGGGATGTGCTTGAGGGACAAATTGCAACTAAGCTCTGTCTCCTACCCAGCATTTCCATTTTCTGAAGGTAGGACATGGCTGTTACAAAGTCATTCTTCACATCTAGCTTATAAAGGAAACTATTTGAAAAGCTACTGACTACTCAGCACCAGCTTTGGACTTGACCCAATTCAGGGTAATACATGGAGTAGCCTGTGGAACTGAGCAGGAGTGAATGGCACTCAATTTAAGAACTACCACTTGAAGAATAAAGATGCACAAGGATTTTGCTTTCACCCATATGTGCTATGAAAAACAGCAGAAGATAGATGGGAGGGCATCTGGAAATGTAAATACACCACAGCATAATAGATATTGAGATCAGTATTTATAGAAACCAGATGGAAAGAAGATTATTACTATTTCAGAGGGAGGGGGCGAAACCCCATTTTACTGGAAATAAAATAGCTACATACCCTTAACTGAATTTCAAAGTGGAGTTAAAAAGCTCTCCCAAAGTGTAAGGTGTTTATAAACCTGATCACTAAAGCAGATTGTTATAATCCACAAAGCTCTCTTTAATCAGATTGCTAAAGCGTGTTTCCTACAGAGCCTACTAGTATTTTTATAAACCAAAAACCATTTTTCTCTTACTTTAATTGGCTTTGAGCTTCTTTTATGCTTTCTGCGACGAATGAGTTTCTCCCTGTCCTGGAAAATAAAATTAAAAAGTAACTCTCATCTTGCTTGCAGCTTTAGAAAGCCAAATCTACAGAGGAAATAAATCATTGGGCTTTCACCAACTCTCTGTTCATACATTCAAACAGCAATCTGATTCCAGGTGGGTGGATTCATACCCAAATCTCTATGCATGTCAGCTGAAAACCACTTGAGGAAGATGGGATATCTGCAGAAAAACCCTTGTGCAGTTGCCTTGACAGGATGTTGAATGACAGGCACAGATGGATTTCCTGTTAAAATCACTGGGAAGTCTGTTGCAGGGGCCTGGTTTGGGCTTTGTGTGAGAGGCTGTTCACCTTCCCTGCAAAGGAGATGCTGCCCATTTCAAAGTTGTTACATGATGGTAATGTTGATCTCACCCCTCCTAGCAATGACCTCTTAGAAAAGGCAACAGTGTGTTTTGGAGTCTCTTTCTCCTTACCCTCAACATCATAATACAAAGTCAGCTGAAAAAGGGATTGTCAGTATTAAATGACAGGAGAACGAGTGAACCACCATCTAGCAGCACATGCTTTCCCAGCACATGGTATCACACTGTGTGCCTGCCTCTTGTTATGGAAACTTTTGAATGGTAGCTTAGGTTATAGCAGTAAAACAAAACAGCCTTGTGAACATGTAGGTACCTTCCCAAGCTCCACAGTTCTTAGTCTGCGTTCATTTCTAGAGCTCAGTTCTCATATAAGTTATACTTTTGAGTTGTAAGGGCTGATGCCCCACTAGAAATTCAATTAAACTGCTCCCTTGCACACCTACATCTGAAAATCTGCAGGTGTTAAAAGTAAGATATTAACCCTTGGATCTCTAGTTACAAGAAGAAATACCATCAGTGGTGAACTGTACATAGGAATTGTTCCTAATTTCCTGGTGCTCTGGACGTACCCTCGTTAGCTCATCAATTATGTTCTGTTGTTCTATGACCTGAAGCTTTAAGAATTCAGTTTCTTGTTCCTCATTAGCCTGATCCAGGTCATTGAGAGATCTTAATTTCTTTAGAGGAGGATGTGATGTAATTTTTTCTCTCTGTGGTAGGAAGAAAAACAGATAAAGTAAGATCCAGCAATTAAAAGACCACCTTCAGCTAAAAATTAGACATTTAAGCTGCACAGCCTTTAAATATCCCTCAGAAACATCACTTTTATAACTTTATTTATACGTGCCAGCACTTCTTAACAATAGAGCAGCACAGGAAGTTTGAGTTCTTCAACCAGAAAAACAAAGCTTTACCTATTTACTTTTTGCGTGGCAAGGTAGCCTCTACAGCAGCCTTTACCCATAGCTCTTCCTTTGCCATGTATCAAGATGCCCTAACATATGGCAAATTCAGCTGAACTCCCTACCTGTTTGGTGAGTATGCAAAACAGTATCTACTCCTGCGACCCCATGCCCTTACTGATACCCATCACATGGCCATACACACTGAGGAGAGGGACATGCTTTAGTCACATGGAAGACATATAACCAGTAGGAAGAAGAGGAAAGGCAAAAAACTGTGGTACCACATCACTTTTAAGTAGAAATCCACATCCTACCTGGGATAAGAGATGGCTACAGCCCGTGAGAATTGCTCTATCCACCCACAGCCTGCTAGCTTCCATAATTTGGGCATCGATAGTATAAAAAGTATATCTTAGGGAGCTAAGTTAGAACATGTGACTGCTGATGTCTAATGCATGCACATTGCCAGATCTCTTCTCTCTGCTATGGGACAGCCCAAGGGGCTGTGATCTGTACTACCACAGCTGTGGAAGAACAATTCTGACCTGTGACACCTGAATTGCAGAGTCTTAAAGGGGCTTAACCTTGTAACACTAAAGCTTTTTTTTCAAGAAAGTGAATCTGATCCTCTCATCCTAATCGCAGGAAAGCTGCATCCATTGCAGAAGTCAGCCTGCTCGTGACTGTGCTGGTGCAAGCCAGAGACAAGGAACACAAACACACTTAGAGGAAGTTGTCTCAGCCTGCCATCTTACATCTGGCAACCCAGAACTTCCACCTCCTGATTTTATTAATGCCAAAGCAATCTCAGTGCATGTGTAGGGAGTGGATTCTGACTGATACTCAGGGAAATTTCGTTTGAAGGACACAGGCATAAGTGCTTTGACCCCATTTAACATATCCCGGATGTGAAACTGATAACCCTAGACAAATTTAGAATACCAGAATTACCCTTTCCCATACCCATCTACCATGTTTATGTTTTATGGGAAGACCGTATACGCTCAGTGCCAGACCAGGACTTCACCATCATCAGCAATAACAAGAACATGTATATTCAAAGATGAACATCACACTGGCTGAAAACATCACTCTTAATAGCTTCCTTTTTGAGTCCCAAATGCCAAACAGTAGACTGTGATATGATTCTGATGCAATTATTATTAATTTTTTTTTTAAATAATTGAAACTCAATATTCTAATCTTGGAGATCTTATTAAACATTCTACATTCACATATTAGGCATTCACTTAAGTGTATTGTATGCAATACATGATGTTACAGTATGTATCTATTATACAGAGACATAAGCATGGTTTTATCTTATCAGTAGTATTACACACGATATACAACACTTCTTTTGTACATATATACATGCATACACTATGCAGATGTGGCTACCATAACAGACATAGATCTACAGCAATTCTCACTTTGCTCTTCGATACCAACCATTTCTATGTTTTCTTTAGTAACTGCTTTGAGTTTATCTTCCATACGCTGCAAAGACTGCATAAGTTCATCATTTCTCTTCGTGAGGCACTTGTTCTTTTCCAGAAGAGGTTTACATTGTTTCTCAGCTTCTCGGACACGCTTCAGCTGTATTGATAATAGCAATTAATAATGGTAAATAATCCAAATAAAAGAGTTTGTTCTCACTCCTTTGTTAGAAGTCCTTTTATTTCTTTCCTATCGGACTAATGTCCCAGTAAAACACCAAAGTGATTTAGTGGAACTGATGTTTACAGCTTACATAGCTTTATCTATATACCTCAAAACATAATTCTGCATATTCATTTCCAAAAGATGGCTTTATCAACGAGAAACTGAGACTTAGAAATGAAGCAACCCAACACAGTCAGGCAAAGCTGCTACAAAAGTCTGAAATGACCTGTGCTTCATCTGCAAGAAACTCACCGATTTTCTCACTGAAAGACAGATTTGCATAGGTATCTACTCAGTCTGGATCACAGCAATAACAACATAGTTGTAACTCTGGTTTTTAATGCCACACAGTGAAATACTTGTGCACATGCACAATGAACTTTGTTTTAATCAAGAAATCACATGACATTTAGTCATCAAATCCTGTTAAGATAGGAAGATATCTTAGGGCATGCTTGGAAGTTCCAGTATTGGTACAACTAGAGTTTTAAGCAAGATCTCTTCCTCTGAAAAAAATAGTTCCATTCAGTAACACTGAGTGTTTTATAGCTATATTTTCTTTCTCTAAGGGAGAACAAGGAAGATGTCATGTCGCCTTGAAAAGACATCATCTCTGTGTCCAGATGATCTACTTAACAAAGGCACTGTCCCAGTTCTGTAGTATTCTTTGTCACTGGGAGGTTCCTGCCCCTTGCAGTTCTGCTGAGGAAAGGACTGCAAGAGTTTTCTGTAGCTATTTAGCACAGTCAACCACACTTGCTTACATCACCAGATCATCTTACTAGGCTATTTAAACTGAACCAGTGATTTAGTCTGAAGCAGGTTAGCAAGTATCTGACAATCCCTTCTGCTAACAGAAAAGGGGGGAGCAGCTAGGAAGTCATTACATCTTTGATCAGAAAAGCTGTGGACAAAACAACTGTTTGTCCTACCCTAACAAATAAGTTAGTTGTTTCTAATCTGAACGAATCAAAGCATGTAGTATTTCCAGCAGTACTCCTGGTCACTTAACCAAATGTGTTTGTTGTAGCCACGTTGTGTGAGGAACAACTCAGCAGCTTTCTAAAAGCACTTTTTTTTCTTTTCAAAAAAATAGCCTGAACACTTAATGACATGCAGCAGGTATTCAGACTGACCCATCAGACTCCAAGTTATTCAGTGGCACAGAAGTCTGAGAGTTAAGAGCTTTTCATAACTGGAGACACATGAACATATCTGTAATTTTCAATCTTGCAAAGACATTTTGCAAATACTACATTAAGAACTTGAAGAGATTCAAGCCAGCTAAACTGATGAGAAACAAGTGCATTAGGAGTCCTAGCTCAGGAATAAAAAAAAATCATGAGTTGAATTTCAACACCCTCATCCTTAATCACAGAAGGGGAAATACAGAGAGGCTAAAAAGCCAGGATGCTGACTTCAACATACACATATCACCACTTAGGATTAAGTCAGACAAAGGGATCAATTCACCACTGTCCAGTCTCCCTAGATCCCTTCACTATTCTCAGCCTGGTCAAATACTGGATTATAAACATTACTTCAGTTACAGGATAAGCCCCACCATACACTGTTGTATGCTCAAAAGGTCAAGGAGGGAACATAAGCGTTCATACAGACACCTACAAATCTCTCTGCCTCAACTTTTATTGTGACTTTTTACTCATGTCACTTCAATGAAATTACTGTTTAATTCTAGGATTAAAAAAGTCATCCTCAGCCTCCCGATGGATGGGAAAGGCATATTCATCACTGCCTGTCATCTTTGGATCCTCCTCTCTTTGCCTTTCCCTATGGCTCCCAACCTCCTCTGTCCGACAGTGCAAAGCCTACACACCAGTTCATTTCGTTCATCAACAAGCAACGTATTCCTGTCCTCCAGCTTCCGGATTGTGGCATTCAGCTCTGCTATCCTCTTCTGGTTTCTGCGCAAGTCCTGTTTATTGGCAACAATACAATACAGTTACTGAGTCTTTTCAAAATACATGCTTGGGAAAAGAAGCCTCAAAAACCACCCACCAGTCAACTTAAGCTGTCATCATCAGCAAATTGTAGTTATGTATTTTCACAATATTGAACGTGCTTGCAAAAATATACATATATTTGGAAGAAAGTATCTGGTTTGGGGGACACTTCAATTGAAAATTTTCAGCTGTTAAAAAAATAAAGAGAAAACAACCAAACAGACGTTGGTATGTTTTTACGATGGGGAAGAAAAAGCAAAAAGATAAAAGATCCTAATTTTTATTGCTTTTTCCCATACCTCACTTCTATTTGCTGAGCCACTATGTCAGGTGAAAAAGGACATCCTTTTCAGTATCAATTGCATTTATTTTCTTATTCCTTATATGTATAAACATGGGTATAGTCACACATTTGTTGTGCAAACATCATACATTTAGTCACACAACTGGTGAGTTGCATGCTTTGTGAGTGATGGCAAGGGCTGCATACCTGGAGAATAAGACAAAGAAAGATCTCCCAAAAGTCTCCCAGATTCTGATGCCCTCCTTCACCCTCTCCATTCCTGACCATCTTCATATGTGGTTTTATGTGGTTTTAAGGATCTGTGCTATCCAGGTAGTTATGTTAATGGAATGATTCTTCCAAAGGTGCACTAATTATTTAATATATTTTATACTTGTAAATACAGCAACTGAGGAAACAGCCTTACAAAGCTTGATCTCATTAGTATTCTCTCTGAAAAATCTATAGACATAACTTCTCTGTAGTGAATAGAGTGGGAATGTTTTCCCAGGGCCTGAGAAAATATTTAAGCAAGAGAAACAGCCATGTTTCTGCTTTGCAGCAGCAAGTAAAACCTGCATACAGGGCTGCTGCAGTGCTCCGAACCATCTCCGGCCCTTCCTGGGATTTCTCTCTTGGGACTGCTCATGTTACACTCTGCTTCCTTCACCAAGAAGAGCTGTTCATCCAGTGCTTCCTTCTGCAGCTGCAGCTTCTGTACATAGCCTGTCTGTGTCTCCAATTCTTTCTCCAAGGAAAATATGATCCTGTCTTTAGCCTTGATCTCATCCATCTGAATGAGAGAAAAAACACACAACAATATTACTGTGTAAACGCAACACCATTTTAGCCTTCTCCAATATAGTAGTGTATGGTTTATTTAACAGCAGTGTTCAACATCTAAATCTGCTATATCACACTGCACCAGGCTTGTAAAACAACACACTTTGAGATTTCAGCCATAACAGTACATTGACACAGTGGCAGATTCACTAGCCTTACCGAGTGAAGCCCGGGGACTGATCCTGGTGCAATGTTAACAGATAGCTGGGTGAATAGTTCAGGCTTTTGCACTGCATTTTGGTCATTGATACTAGTGAAAAATAAGTATAAAATCTGACAAACCCCAGAACGTTTAGAATAGCTCCTCCTCGTGTAAATGCAGCTGCATTGGTTGGGACAGGAGAGGTTATGGTCCAGTTCTGACAAACAGAAGATCTGTGCAGAGCCAGTATTTCTTAAAGGTGATTACTATGCTATTAACCTTGGCTGAGTGCAAACTCAAGCTATTCATTTTATTGTTACTTAATTTCTATTTAATACCCCAGGTCTAGCCAAGACAAAAAGAAAGTGTCACTTATTTCACCTCACAGCAATTTTTGAGAACGATGGCTGATAGGAAAATCTAGATGAAAACTTAGAATTCTAAGATCAGAGCATGCAAGCCTTGCAACCATGAAAACTGATACAAAACTGACAACATCATCAAGCTCAAAAAAATTTAGTGAATGAGAATTTGCAAATCACTCTGGAAAACAGAAGTTCTATTATCCGGGAACACTACTAATCGTTCCCTGAAAACAAAAATTGTATCTATCCTGAATTTTGGCAGCTTCAGGCAAAGACACTTTCTGGTCTTGCAACTTTCCAGTCTTGCAGAAGTCCTCCCCAGACTGTTTTTCCAGTGAGTAGGACTAGCTTCTGATCTCCATTCACTAGATGTCACCCTGATGTAACTTCCTGCACTCTAATAGCAATACAGTGGATTTGGAAAACACTTGTGTAAGATAAAAATAATTCTGGACGTGTTCAAGTTTCTTATGTGAGTAAATAGCTGTCAAGAAGCCTTTCATCAGTGGCTGAAAATAAAATACACAACACAACGGTGCAACCGGAGTTGATCTTAGTGTTATTATATGTAGCTCTGGTTTACCCTGAGTTTCACTATAGTTCCTTTTCATATGAAAATATGTAGACAGAGCCTCAATTCCAGATGAGGGAAAAAAGAAACCCAACAAAAAAAACCCAGTAGTTTGTCTTCATGGCTACACAAAACTGCAAATGGGGATCAAAGTAGCAAGAAGGGTCAAAATCAGAAGGCAGATATGAAGAATCCACCACTCCTAGTCTGCACTACATCACTGAGCATTCTGGCAACAGAAGAACATACACAGGTTTCAAACAGGTTAAGGATGACCCCCCAAAAATTATCATTCCTGACAGCTTACATCACTATTTCTTTTACTTAACTATTAAATCCTGAATTCCAGTTTTCAAGCCAAACTATCCACCATTGCAAGCAGGTCCAGCTCCCTGGATGAGGAAACATGGCAACTTGCACCATTGCTAATGTGGGCCTCATTTTGTTCATTTTCCCCTGTAATTACTGAAGGCTGTGCCAAGAACAAAACAAAAGATATCTCTCCTCCTGCCATGGATTAATGTGTTTAGGATACCATCACAAGGGCAGGAGAAACTAACAGACCACAAGCGCAGATGCAAACACTCTTTTTCTAACACTTTGTAGCGCACGTGTATTGGCATCTCAGCAAGCCAAATTCTTACGGGCTAGGCCAACCATTTCCTCACTTTAAGGTGTTAGCTGCCATCACAGTGGTTGCTCTCTCACCAACTCACCATGATCTGCTTATTGCTAAGAAATAACAGTGAGAAGCCTGTAATACTTCTGCAAACTGAGGTGCATTGCGGAGTTCTGCATTCAGAAAAAGCTAAGGGCACAAGAGGCAAACTCACTATGGCATAAAAACACATGAACTGTTTCGGTTACTGACCAGGCGGCGAATATCCCTTTCACTCTCCCATTTGATCTTGGAAATGGCTTCCTGGTGGGATTGATGCTCACTCCGAAGATCCCCTGCCTTGATCTTATCGGCTTGGATCATATTGTTAAGGGCCTCATCTACCTGCTTTTTGGCAGACTTCAGTTCAGTAATTTCCTGCAGAAGTTTAAGGCGCTCAGAGTCGAACTGCTTTCTGGCCTCCTCACGAGCCTCAATAGTCAGCGCTGTCCTTACTTTATCACTGCTCCCATCCCGCAGCGCACTCAGCGCTGACTTCAGGCGCTGGATTTCACTGTCTCGGACTTTGACCATCCGTGTCATCTCCTGCTCATGCTGTTTGATGAGGTTCTCCCTCACAGCCTGCAGCTCCTTCATTTTCTCCTCATGGAGTTTGGCTTTTAGCTCTGTGATCTGCACAGTCTGCTTGCGCTGCTCCACCTCGCGGATGCGCTTAGTTTCTTGAGTCTTCTCCCTTTCAAGTTTAGCAACCTACATTGAGATAAAATGAAAGTCACTTGCTCCCAAGATAATGTTATCAAAACAGGCCCACACAGACACACAGTCATGTCAAATTGAGGAAGACCCTGCTGGAGAACCTGGATGATCTTTCACCCTCCTAAAGCAAAATACAGGCCAACTCCCAGGGCATTCACACAGATTTTATGCAGTTTTACTCAAGTCAAAACAACCCTGTCTTACCTCACACAGTGACACATGTAGCTTAAGTATTTCCTAAGGAAATAAGACCCCATGTATACGCATGCATCTGTCTAACAACTTTCTATCCCATCAATGTCAGTCACATTCACCAGAAAATTAGAGGGCTCAGATATAGCAAGGTTCCTATAACTTTCATGACCATGGGCAGTCAATCAGATGAGAGAGAAGTGCTTGGCTCTATGTGATCCCACCTGAGGTAAAGTGCAAGTCTCAAAGTCCAGGAAACACTTCATCTTTTACAAATGTTCTAACCCATACACAGCACTTTCACAGACATTTGTAGTAACTTCTTAGTCACATATCTACAGACAAGCATGCTTCATGGTTGTTATGCTTATGAAACAGATAGCTTTACTTAGCATACATCATTTGATAGTACTTATTAAAAATAGTTTTTAAAGTTCTTTGGCCATAGTTTCAGAATCAAAGTTGCAGAGCAACCCACCAGTCCACAGTACACTTGCACTAATACATCTCTAGGTGTAACTTCATAACCCTGAGCAATTCCACAATAGTCACCTGTGTGAACCTACACCAAAGGAAAGCAATGGATAAGGAATGGTTTCAGTTCAAAGCAAACTTGGTAGGTTTGTCATTTACAGTGAAAAAGAATGTGGTTTCAAAGATTGTAAGAACTTCCTTGTTAATTCCTTATTGAAAAAGGACCACAAGGAAGAGTAAGCAAACCTCAAAGGTCAGGTTGGGCAGGGCTATGAGCAGCCTGATCTAGTGCAATAGTTCCTGGGTTTGGAATTGGATGAGCTTTAAGGTCCCTTCCAACCAAACCCATTCTATATTCCATGATTTTTTCAGAAAGAAAAAAACGGGAAAAAAAAAAAAACCTGTCAATACAAATAAGCATAGTAGCAGGTCATCTGAAAGCCCTCCAGGAGACACTGGTGGTCAAGCCTGCAGGCCTAATTGATTATTTGGAGATGATTTAGTGAAGGTAGGTTTCTATCACCAGATCGTTCTGACAAGTAACACTCCTTAAAAATGAGAGGCATCTTCCTCAGAAGGCTCCATGGAAAACAAATCTGAAGGCTGCCCTACATAAATAATGCAGGAAAAGAGAGTGGAAAGTTCAGCAGAAGATACAGGCAAGAGCTGAAGCTGCAGCACACAGTTCTGAGGTTTCTAAAAGGTTTCTAAATTACCTGGGAGGCACCTCAAACCTCCACAGGTATGTCTATACCATAGGGCCATGGCTATACCGTGTGTGTGATACTCATCTCCCTTTAGCCTACATATCTGAGACCGTAACTGTGGCAGACCAAGTGGTACGTAAACAAGATTTAAACACTGCATACATACCCTAGGGTATAAATACAATTCAGCTGCACTGCAGATGGATTGAAAGGGTTGACATGGATTGCCATGCTATACACTCAAGGAACCCTTCACTTGACTTTGAAATAAGGGCATGTCTTGCTGAGATATCAGCCATTCAAAAAACAGCAACACTGCACAATTTCTAAACACTGAGTGGATAGGATGAAACCCACTAACTTGAATATGGCCAAAGGTGCTACAAAAGACACATTGCTCCATTTGAGTGCCAGAGGCCTCTTAGACTTGTACCTCAATAAAGTCTTTTCCATGCAAGCAACAGGACATCCACAGTAAGAAAATGCTGTATGTGGAGAAAGCAGCAGACCACTATTCTAGGAAACAGTTGTGTTCCATCTGATCAGCTGTAATACCACCTTTTTCATGTGTTTCCCTCCTTCAGCACAGACACTGTTAAATAAAACCAAATCCTCACTTACCTTTGATTTCTCTTGATGCAGCTCAATTTGAATGTCTGTTAGCTTGGTCCTGAGTTCCTCATTGGCAGCCTGTAGGGCAACAATCAGTGCCTCAGGCTTTTCGCCCTTGCTACGTCCTTTTTTGGACATGGTTTCTTATCAGCGAGAGTCCACGTGTTTAATTACTTCAAATACAGACTGCCATCTTTTTCTGTTCCTTTCAGTGCCACTTAGTTCAGCACCTACTGCATGGCATTCCTTAAGCTCCTGGACTCAGCTGCTTTGGAAGCCCTGTGAGAAATAAGACATACTATTATTTGTCAGTAAACAGTGCAGCATGACAGCTCACATGGTTACAGAACACAAGAGCGAGCTTGCTTCTCGAAACACTGCAATCTTTGTCTGAAAACCTGCAAGGGAGATCCCAGCACAATCAAGCTTCTATACGCAAGTCTGGTATATTTGTGGAGATTCCATGTATGCCCTTTTTATGTTCTCAGAAAGGGCACCACGCAATGAAGACAGGAGCTTGTTTACCGTAAGGATTGCTGCTGTTGGGAGTACAGGGCTAGAAAGGGCAGGTAAATTTAACCCAAGCCTTGCAGCCTGAGGTAACCACAAGGCAGGCACTTTAGTCTTGAGCATCCACCAACTATATCTTCCCTTTACCCTTCCCAACCCTTGATCCCCCTCAACATGCTGTGCCACACTCAAAGACTTTCCAGAACACAGCTACAATCTGCTATAGCTCTTCTTCCACCTCTCAAAACCTGGTGAAATATTGCTTCCAGGAATTCATCTGTCTTATAGAAACACAATGGTATCTGCATCCATACACAAAGCTGCACCAGGGGAATTTTAGACTGCATGTTAGGAAGCATTTATCTAGCAAGAGGGTGGTCAAACACTGGAATAGGCTCCGTAAAGAGGTGGTCAATGCCCCACGCATGTCAGTGTTTAGAAGGCACTTGGACAACGCCCTTAGTAACAAACATGCTTTAACTTTTGGTCAGTCCTGAAGTGGTCAGACAGTTGGACTAGATGAGCATCATAGGTCCCTTCCAACTAAACTATTCTTTTCTAACACAAAGGATAACAAACCAGATCAACCTTGCAGATTCACTCTGCTGATCTGAACGACTATCCTACTGAGACATAGGAAGATATGTAATTTTAAAAATATTTTGTTACTGTGCTTTATGTAGAGCAGCTCTGAATAGATAGAGTGAGGTAGAACAAAAAAAATGTACCCCTGAAACTGGTTTTTGGACTGCAATTTCCATTTAATTTGAGTAAATTAATATTACAGACAAGATTTATCTTCTTTCAGTGGAATTCTTTTTCGCTTAAAGAGTGTTGTGATATTCAGATGCCCAAAGTTGTGTCTTTTCACCTGTAAAGGCAGCCCTACCATTCTTTCAGAGGGAGGGGCCCAGTGAGTTTGTCAGTTCTCCAACATGTTGCTTTTAATTGCACAAAGCTTGAATTTTATGCCAAAGCATTTTTAAGCGTCTGCTTTTCCAACACCTGCTTGCAGACTGCAGTGAGGGACTAGCCTTTCATAAAAATCCCTGGTTATCTTGCAATATCACATCTTCCCCACATGGTGCGAATTATATTTACCGAAGAGTACTGTCCCCGCAGTCTGCCATGGAAATCTAGGCAAGTCTGGAGGATAATTTCACCAGCTGCCATGTCCTTACTACAATGAGCACTCTCAACCCCGAAGTGGGAAGGGAGCCAGTAAAATGTACTGGTTCTCAGCGGTACACATGATCAAATCCTAGATTTTACATCTGAGAAGAAACAGTTTAGTTCTCTGCATAAATAAATTTCCTTGGTTTCAGTGGGACATAGCCTTCGGTATATAGACCTCCCTATGAAGTACATAGGGCACTGTGCTGATGCCATTAGACATACCAGCTCAAGGAAATTAATACCACCACAGCATTCCCCGACTGTGAGAATAACCTGACCCTCATAACTGTTTCAAAACCTGGTAGTTTATTTGGCAATGCATCTATTTAGAGATTACAAGAAGCATCAGTCACAACTGTAAGCAAAAAGACCAGCAGAATTATTTACGACAAATGTCTACCAAGTACAATAGCAGCTGGAACATCTGTCAGCTTTGTCCTCTACTAGCACGTGTCAGTATCATCTGTAGGAATTATTGTTGGAGCCATGAAAACCTCTGGTTAAGAAAAAGAAAGCTTCAAAACCAAGCAAACAAACAAACACATCTACATGCAGATTTCCATCCAAGATAGCAAGATTAAACCCATGCCTAAGCCATAATAAATTGAACCTGGATGTCAGACGAAAGATTGTATTTTCCTTCTCTCCTGAGAAAATCTATCCAGTAAATTCTGAAGTAACAGCTACACACATTTGAGATACATCTTGAATGAAAATCTAAATTAATTCACTGAAGGGTTTGCCTCTATTTTTATGGAAAGTAGGAACACATTGCTATAGGCTGTGAAGTATTTATCAGCAAGAGATCATGGCTACACTTGTCCTTAATCAGAACTGCTGCTGCATGAAAAGGCACATTTGAATCTCAAAGTTTGTTTGTTGGTTGGTTTTGGGCTAGGTTTTTTGGTGATTTTTGGTCTGAGTTTTTGCTTTAGTTGGTTGGGTTTTTTTTAAAGATCAATTCAAGCTTAGCTGCATGATATAATGAGGTAGAAGTCTATTTATTCACATTCCCAGAATTCTAAAGCAAATAAGCATTGAGTGTGCAAATAATGGTGTGCTGCTTCCCAAGGCAGAAAAAAACATAAAACATAAATGCCTCAAGGAAAGCACTTCATAACCTTTAAGGTTGAATATAAAAAGACAAGTACAACTGGATGAGCAATCCCACTCAAAGCTTTTTCCTACCTAGTCTCTTTAATCTTTTGTTTTCCTTCCTTCCTACAAATTTCACCCATTGCTTTCCGCTTCCATGCCTTCCTTTTGATTTTTTTTTCTTTATTTGCTGTTTGCTCTTGTTCTTTCTTTTCTATGGCATTCTAGGCTAACTTTTTGTTAATACTGGGTACAGCCTCTGCTTCAGAGATGTTGGGGATCAGCCATTTTGATCAGTCATGCATGTTTTTATTCTCTGCTAAATTGCCCATGCACGATATTGCCCAAGCAGAACAGGATGCCCAGAACCTTGACTATGAATTGTACAGGTCTCCATACTGAGACACAAACCCTCCCCAGGTTACACCTGAATCTCAGAAGTGAAGAACACAAAGGACAGACCAATCCCTCTCCTATCACTGATTTCCTTACTGATTACACCCTAAAAACTAATTCCAGGCTGAAAGTGAAAAAAGCAGGGGAATGCAGCTGGCTTTGAACACTTCTTTTTCTTTCTCTTGCAGTTTGTATCCTGTGCTGAGGAGCTGGGAATGATTGCTCCATTTCAAATTTCTTTTTAAGCCAGGCATCCCTTTACCAGACGATCAGTTAACCACCTTCTTGGTGAGCAATTCCCAATCACAAGCCTTACCACTGTATTTTTCAAGGCTAGCTCACGCAAACTGCACCCAGACATGTTTCATGTCTTACCCTTATCTACAGAATTATGGATTTCAAACCTGCATTTCAGGACAAAAGTTTCTGTTTCAGCAATAATATTTCAGTTCAAATCCAGAGTAGCAATCTTGCACATTAATGAACCCTCAGAATTAGGGCTTCTTCAGTTAGTTATTACACAGCAGAGGGATAAGACAGAGAAAAATTTACAATGCAGTCTTTGCTCCAACAATCTTACAACTTCAAAAATCCTATTGCAATTACAGTGAACAAAGTACTTTCCAAAAGACAGAAAAACTACCCCTTTTCTAACCCCAATGTTACTGTCCACTTTGTACAGCATGCATCTGTACAGCTGTCACCACAGCCACAGTCTGTCATTAATGCCTCTCCCAGCAGGCCTCTTTACAGAGGAATATGTGTATAGCTGTATGTTTATAGCAAGAAGAAAGTCTCCGCTAATTACACAACAGCTGCCTAACATGAGGGCCACCAAATACAAGAGGTATCTGAAATAGCAAAACTCAGAGAAACACTTTTGTGAAATGGCTCTGCAAAGAACCATTGAAAAACGAGTTCCTTCCCTCCAACAAGTTCCAGTGGAAGTTATCCACTTGTCTACCAAACTGCAGTCAAAAAAAAAACCTTACTTGAAATACGAAAAACCACTTGCACTTGAAAAGTACTTTACCAGTACATCTGTACAGTGTTAAAGGGAACTTTGCTATTGACTGCTATAGGAGCAGCAAGCAGGAGACCAATACATCTCCCAGTGTAAGTGAATTCATAAAACATATTTCCAGCTGAGCCTGGGAACTTAGTAAAACATAATGAAACAGGATGCCATTTACTCTTAGAATCTTAATCAGCCATTCTGCCTTTCATCTTGACAAACGAATTAATGTACCGATGTTTTCTCTTGCTCTTTGAACAATGCCACATGTGTACTAGAATGCTGCAGTGGTGGGTGGGCAGCAAAAGGCTGTGAATTCATAACTCTGGTTTAACTAAGAACACTTCAGCAGTGTTCACTAGCATTCAGATTATTCATAACAGCATATCTTAATTTCCTCTTCCAACAGAGATCCAGAGAAGCATCATTCAGCCCAATTAAAGTTTAAACATAAAATTAGGTTTAAAATAAAACGTAATTGAACAGTCCCCTTTTCTGTATAGATATCATCTGCTCTAGATGTGTACTGAAGATGGGCACAAGTACCCAACTCATCTCTGCTGAGTAACCTCTTGAATAGATGTTTGAGCACCTTTCATTATCACTTCAACTTTCTTTACCACAGACCTGAATGCAAGATGACACATACTGTAATCATGGATGTATTTAGCACACTAGATTGGGATTGAAATGAAAATAACTGACAAAACTCTGTGCAAGGCAAGCTGGAGAGAAGAACAGAAAATGTTCACTAACAGGTGCTGCGTGATGAATATAATGCGCAGTTCAAACCGGCAATTTATCAGATTCAGCCATAGGAGCCCTACAACACCTTGGGTTACTGTGAAAATCAAGAACAGACTCAGCAGTCTCATCTCAAAATAGAAATTCCTTTTTTCCAGATGGGAAAAACATATCTGAGCTGAGAGATATGTGAAGTATCTTTAGATTCAAAGCGAAAGAAATGAAACAAATGCTGCCCTTCTAAATTCAAGTGTAACTTTCCTAAATAGGCAGTGTAGGCTGTAGCTGGTAAATAGCAGCATGAATACAATAAAGAGACAAATCATGCTAAAGCATAGATTAG